ACATCTCGTCCTCTCGCCGTCTCCACATCTTGCACCAGACTCGGTTTCTCCTTAACTTCCAGCTCATTTGTGATTTCTGCCTCCCTGCCTTTTCGCCACGCACTTTGCGTGCGGATAAATGGGTTTTCATGGACTGGAACTATGGTTTCCACGGACACCTGACTTACAGGTTTGGGCTCAGCATCCAGCCACTGCCCCGGATCTGGACTCAGAGATGGGTCACTTCCCAGATTGACCGTAATGGAGCTGTCAGTGTCACTCAGAGCATCAGAAGGAGATCTGAGGTCAACTGGCTGTGGGCTGATGTCTTTCTCTCTCTCCCTGTCCCCAACATTTTCCTGCTTGGCCTTCCGTCTCTGAATGATCCCTCGCTTCCATGCAGGCATGCTGGCTAACTTCTCCTCCTCCTCTTTCTCTCTCCTCTCCCTCTGCTTCTCCTCTCGCCTCTTTCTCTCCAGAAGAAGCTGTTTCCATTCTGGCAGGGAGGAGACAGACATAACACAAAAAATGGTGCACCTCTTTGGATGAAATGGTCAAGAGTTTTCTCCACAGAGCATCCAGGAACTGTCTGGGGGAAGAAAAAAAAAGAACTAAAAGAATCAAATAGAACCGATTCAAAGTGTTATTTTAAAGGGTTTAAGAAAGTCAAGTATGCAGATTATTTTTTTTAAACAAAACTATTTTACATTTGTCTTTAAACCAATTTAAAGAACATTAAAGCAAAGCATAGCCTACCAGCAGATCCAGCTCGACTTTACATCTCCACTTGTGCGTAATGCGCTCCTCCTCCTCCACACGGAAACAATCCCTCCAGCCCAGAGCCGTAAAATAAACAAATATTACAGGAATCCTGGGGGGTTAAGATGCCCTATGTTCCAGGTAAATCACCCAAAGACCTGATTCTGCATGAAAAGCTTGAAAACGCCTCCGTCCTCGTCGTGGTTTGAATTATTTCCAGCTCCAGGACTGGAGGCGGTAATCCGATAATTACATTCAATTCCGTCAGGAGAGTTAGTGGCACACAACATATTGTGGGACCTAAGAAAAGGCGTTTAAAGAGCACAGCCGTCTGCCCGGCTCCTGACCCCCCCTCCGCACATCTCCACGTCCAGCAGGGCTGATTGGAGAGGAGGAGGAAGAGGAGGAGGTGCGGCTAAAAGCGTGCCAAAGCGCAAAGCTGCAGCCTGAGAGCGCATGATCACTGGCACGGATTTAAATGCTTTAATTAGTCTTTATCAATCTCATTTCTACCACTATCATCAAACCTTCATTGTCACCAACAGCTGAAGGGTGTGGGTGGATTATTCAGAAAGATTTTAAAGTAGAAAAATCAACTTTTCTTTGTAGAGAAATAGAAAATGTCAAGAGTGGCTGCTATAATTTGATGTTAAAGCTCATTAATAAATAAGAAGTTGTCAAAAAACTCCAAGTGAAATAACATTTTAAGGATTTCTATCCAAAGTTTTTTACCTTTGAAAACAGCCAAAGTTACTGAAAAAAGGTGAAACTAACATTACCATCTAGAAGTTTTGCAAAAGTTGCACGTTTTGAATGCTTGAACGTCTCCTCGGCTCTACGCTCGTCCCATTCTGCCACATTTACTGTATGTACAGGTCTCATGTTGGTCAACATGACTCACCTGGTTCCAGGGACTTTGTTTACATTCAGTGCATACCTGCATTTTAGAATTGCGTATCAGCATATCTGGGAAATGACTGGAGTAAACGCTTTCAAACTGCACCCCTTTATGAGCACTTTTATGCTAAATGCAACAAGTATAAAGATAATAAACAATAAGTAACCCACAAAATGTTACTTAAAATTCATAATCAGCTCTGCACAGCGTTTGGACGTAAAGATTACTGTTGTGTTTGTGGCTGTTTTGTGCTGAAAGATCCAAGATTTTAACATTTTCTTCCAAATTCTCTTTATCTAATATGTTTATTTTTAATTATTACAACAGTTTATACACATCGGGTCGTTCTTTTAGAAATTCAGAGCCTGCTCAGTTAGCACGTCTTCATACGTCCTCTCTGGTTGATGAAACTTTGTGTTGGGAAAAACTGAAAAACGGTATCTCGGTGCAGGAATACAGCTGTAGTTTGTGGTGCTGTCGTTCTGTAGAGTCGCATATTTATTCATATTCAGTGCGGCCTCAGGGAGCAGAGGTCACAAGGGTTCAGGACTTCAGGTCGACGGTCCAGGAAAAACGGAATGTGGTGAAGAGATGACGAGAAAGTGGGATGAACAGCCGTCAACAAGAGGCTTTATCAGCTGAAATGAAAGAGACGACTGAAAGATTGTTTATACAATTCATATCTTTAATGATAGAGAAACTGCATTTCCTGCAAAAATGCAGCGTGAATGCTTATTGCAGAAGAACTTACTGAGAAACAGCTGAAATTAGCTAAAAAAAAAAACTGCTGAAATGTAGCTGAAATTGAAAAACAAGCTTAAATAATCTGAAATTAGCAGAAATAGGAAAGTAGCTATAAGAAATTATACAAAAAAATAAATAAACAGCTGAAAAGTAGCAAAAACAACAGGAAGAAGCTTAAGTTCTCAGAAGGAAGTCGAGAGAGCTCATTTATTGCTGAATCAAGCTGAAGAAAGTTGAAGTTATTGCAAAAAAAATCTGGAATTAGATGAAAAAGCTAAAATTAGCATAAAACGCGTAGTAGTTGAAATAACTGAAACTAGGAGAAATAAGCTGAAAGGAACATAACAAGCTGAAATTAAAATAATAATTTAATTAGGCTGAAAGTAGCAGAAATTAGTACAAAAAATAATTTATCAGAAAACAGCTGAAATTAGCAACAAACCAAAAAAATGCTAGAAAGCTATCTGAAAAGGTAGAACAAGCTTAAATTAGCAGAAGAAAGCAGAAAGAACATGTTTGTCCGGTTAGGCTGAAAGAAGATGAGCACAAAAAAAAGTAGAAATTATCTGAAAAAACCTGAAATGAAAAAAAAACTGCTGAAAAGTATTTGTAGCTAAAGAAGCTGAAAAAAGCTGAAATTAACAGAAAGAAGTTTAGAGAGCACATTCTTGCTGAATTAGGTTGATAAATGTTGAACAGAGTGGAGGAAAAAAGTGGAATTAGCCAAAAAAGCAAAAATTAGCATAAAACAGCTAAATAGTAGCTGCATTAGGAGAAAAAGCTGAAACTTGCAGAAATAAGCTGAAAGGAGCATAACAAGTTGAAATTAGCAGAAAGAAGTTAGAAGAAGCATAAAAATGTTCTAGTTGGCAGAAATAATCTAAAAGGATCACAAAACAGCTGAAATTAGCTGAAAAAAAAAAGTTAAAATTTGCACAAGGAACCAGAACAAAACGTGAAAGGAGCAGTAAAAGGTTGTAAACACATCTAAAGATCTGAAGGATGTAAAATGAGCTCAATTCATTTTCTACGAGGAAAAAAAAATGAAAAGACTAAATATTTCAAACAGCTAAAGTTGCACCAAAATCAAAAGTCATAGCACCCTTCTCCTGAATGAGCTGAACGTTTGTTGAAACAGCACAAAAATTGTGGAACGAACAAGACGCTGCAAAAAGTACAGAAGAAAAGTGGATCACAGAGTGAATGCTTCATGAACATTAAGTTCAGCTTTTAAAACGACCACAGGGCTGTCAAGTTTTACTGAGCAGGCACTGCTGGAGTTATCAAAGTTAAAGTTTGCACAAAATTCTTTGTTTATCCGAGCAGAACAAGGCTCTGACCCAGTTCCTAAAAAGAAAACAAGCACGATAAGAGAAAATTTACAACAACAAAAAAAGGCATTTAAATAAAAAAAAATACAGAAACTTGTGTTAGTGGTTACATTGAAGTTTCATGGCAGATGAGGAAAATCAACATGAACCTGATATAAAACTGTACAATGCTGTGAGATGAAAATTATATTGTGGAAAAACACTGGTCAGCCTGAGGCTATTGTAAAATATTATCCCAGTTTTTACAGCTGCAACTCCTACAAACTTACAAAAAATACCGTCATGAGACCATAAATACATTAGTTTCTTTCTTTAAACCAAGCAGAGACACAGACAGAGATATCAATAAGGCCCTTTGTGTAAGAGTAATAAACACCCTCAGTGTTTCTTATAATGTAACAGTTTAGAAAAAAATACTCTGGAATAAAAATAAAAAATCAGAGCAAAGAAAAACTGGGTTACCGTACTTTCCATCGTACACGTCGCACCGCCGTCTAAGTCACATCAGTCCAAAAATATGTCTAATAAAGTGGAAAAAACATACGTCGCATCTATTATGCGTCACCGCTGACAACGTGGAAATGTGGGCCGGTGTTGTGCCAAAAATCGATAGGCCGCCAAATGGCAGCCGCGGGAGGACTTTAACAAGAATTTAACAAGATTAACGTTTAAAAACAATTATTTGTTTGCTCGACTTTATAGTAAAGGTGTGTCTCTGTTGAATTTTCCTTAATAAATTCACTTTAACGGTCTAATCAGCTGCATTTCGCCTGGGCGACGCAGCAAAATGCAGCTGATTTGATGTTTGCTCCAGGAGTTCCAGAGCAAGACGAAGGTGGCTCTGTATGGCAAGACAAGTGTCTCGTTAATAGCCACTTTTCCCTATTAGTGAGCCACTTGGCTTGCCTTAAAAGTTGAGCGCCCTCTAGTGGCTGAAAATGGTAGTGTTCAATATTTACCATGTCAGAATGAATGAAATCGTCAGATCTCAGCCAAACACTGGTTTATAAATATGGGGGGGAAAAAAACGTATATTTGTCACTTTGGTGTATAAGTTGCAGGACTTGCAAATTTATGCAAAATGGTGCGACTTATACAATGAAAATTATGGTACTTAAAAAGTTTTCTTTCATTCTGTGTAAAAACTCCCTTTAAAAATCATCAGAACAGAATTAAAACGTTATTTTCTGACACGTCTACTTCTGAGCAGCAGGTTATTTGCTTCCAAAACTAAATCCTCAGTGACTGCAACTGCAGATTATCAGACCGTTTGCTCTGAATCAGCACCTTCACGCTCCCGTCACTCCTCCACGTTGTTTACGTCGCTCTGGCCAGATGTGGCGCCGGAGAAGAGCTGCACCTTGCTTTTAAACCGCACGCAGAGGTAGGCCAAATCCTGTTTGTCCAGAGTGTGCGCCAGGGCCACGTAGGTGGACAGGACCCCCGCCAGCAGGAGCCTGTCCAGGGACAAGGTCGGCAGGAGCCACAGGATGACGACCAGCTCCAGGTACACCGGGTGGCGGAAGTGGGACAGGAGGCGCTGAGCGGGCGGCGACAGGTCAGATAAAGGGTCCCCTAAACTCAGACACCCGTAGTACACCTGAGAGAAGAAAGGTTCGATCATTTAGATATTTTTCTGACACCTAACGGGGCCGACTTATGTCTGTCTTTGTAAAAGAATTTTAAAAATTAATCAGATATTCGTACTTCTGAGAATAAAGCCATGCCACAGTTTGTCCCACCTGCTTGATGCCCACTAGCTCAGGATAATCGAAGATCATGAGGCTGCTGCAGATGACCGCCCAGCACAGGAAGTGAAGCGAAAAGCAAATCAGAGGGAACCAGATGCTCCAGGGTGCGTGACGCACCGACCACAAACAGGGGGCACCGGTCACGGGCTGCCAGTAACGCATTAAGACCTGACACCAGAAAGGAAAAGATGCACGTTTTAACAGAATGCACGAGATTTTTAAGTGAAACTAAACTTTATAGACTAATAATAACTGTAACTCCTGAAGAGTTACTCACATTTTGTAGTGCTTGTACGGCAATAAATTAGTACAAAAGCACTGAGAAAAAGAGACTAATGATTAATATACTTGCAAAGTAACATGTAAGGACTACAAAATGCATCAAAAACTGGTAAGAAATGCAAAAATTAGAGCAAAGGGACTAAAACAAATACACATTTTCAGAGTGTGATGGTGTACCTGCAGGGCGAGCGCAGTCGTGAAGCAGTACGCGGTTCTGTTCAGGACTCCAAGCACGGACTGCAGCACCTGTTTGACGGGGGACCGGGCCAGGACACTGTGTTGTGCAGTGAAGAGACCCAGCAGACCCAGATCCACAACGAGAGACCAGAGGACGGAGCTGTCCCTCAGGGCCACGGACCAGGGCGTGGAGTCTTAGTACACACAAATGAGGAAGAAGATAAAAAATATTAATATTTAAATGTTTGCATGCCTAAATCATATTTGCAAAACACTTTATTAAGAAATATCTATTATTATACCTATTATATTATTATCTATTAAAAACACACTGGTTAGATACAGCAGGACCGCAGAGACTTATGGGTAATGTCAAGTACATTAATTAATTAATTATTGTCATTACAATATGACATCAATTGAATATATGTGGAGGGAAAAATATAAAACTAATAGAACTCTTATAATTAGTGGCTCAAATCTAGGAATGAAATGACAGCTGCAGTTAAAATAAAAAATAAAATAAATGAAAAATATACAAAATGTGTTTAAGTGTTAAGCAACTTTTTGTTTGTGGTTGTAATGATGTCCGAGACAGACGACACCCTCTAGAAGTAACAGCTATAAAAGATAAATATTTTCTCAACTACATATTTAAACTATAAAAGTAAAAAGAGTTTTTTAAAAATGAGCCGCCCAACGTGGGGCTCGAACCCACGACCCTGAGATTAAGAGTCTCATGCTCTACCGACTGAGCTAGCCGGGC